CTTCATCAGACCCTTTTCTGATGAAGGGTCTAGGCCCGAAACGTCAGCCTCTCTGCTCCTATGATGCTGCTTGGCCTGCTGTGTTCATCCAGCCCTGCACCTTGTTGTCTCGGATTCTCCAGCATCTGCAGTTCCTACTATCTCCAAAAGTAAAAGGAAAGTACTTCTACAGTTTGCATTCTATAGTCAGCAGAGATTAGGGGATGAAGAAAGAGTGAGATATGAGAAGCAGGAACAAGTATGCTGATCTATTAGTTTTCAATTTATTCAGGTCTGTTGCTGGTCATACTTCTAGAAACAATGACTATTACCACCATAATCAGGATTAGGACATGCTGGCCCAACTGTCCCCTAACATATCCTGTTACATCCTGCCGCATTTGACTGTGCATCACTTTTTCCTATAAGCAGTAAAGGGAAGAATGTCAGTAAGTGCTGTGCAACCATTTGCTGGATGTGGTCACCATAGTTAAACAGCTAGCGATCTATGCAAATTGTAAACGTGGATTTGAGACTTGCAACAGTACTGTGTGAGGGAGCATATTAATATTAGATAGGAGACCTGATTGATGAGAGATTGTTAATAGGTGACTTCCGACTATATGGTGAATTCAGGAATACCTATTAGTTAGTTGCAGATGGCATTTGAATGCATACTTTTATGAGCACTCATGTGAAGTTATTAAACTTGAGACATCACATTCAGGTTCTCAGGCAGGTTCTGAGCGTGAATCTGGAAGGCCTCCCAGTTCTTTTTGTATACAGGACATCTCTTCTCCATCTCCTCCATCAAAGCCTCTGGTGCATGCTCTCTGCTATTCTATTCTTCATTGTTTTCAAGGTTAGATTCACTTCCTAACTAACTTGCATGATGCTCCATGAAGCTAGACTGCATCATTAGTGGTTAATCCCCCACAAACAACATCCCAGTGATCATAGTTGACCAGAAGTGTAAATGACACAACCATAGTGCACGGCAGCTCAGTGGTTAGCGCTGCTGCCTCACTGCACCAGGGATTCCAGGTTTGGATCACTGTCTGTGTCGAGTTTGCACATTTGCCCCGTGTCTGCGTGGGTTTCCTCCGATTGCTTCGGTTTCCTCCCACAGTCCAAAGATGTGCTGGTTAGGTGGATTGATAAATTGACTGTGGTGTGCAAGGATGTGCCGGCTAGGTGGCCTAGCCATGGAAAATGTGTAGTTACAGGGATAGGATGAGGGGGCTGGGTCTAGGTGGGATGCTCTTTGGAGGGTCAGTGTGGAGCTAATGGGCCGAATGGCTCTTTCCACACTGTAGGGGTTCTATGATTCTATGATATAGATGTTATGAGTGCATGATCCTTCCATCATTTGCACATGGTAGTAGCAGTGTATACCCCTTACAAGACACACTACAGCACCTCACTTTTCCAATCTGCATGGACCCACTGTGAGCTTTGTGTACACTATTAGTTAGAGATATGGGTTAATTATTGTCTAACCTTTTATGTAGAAATAGTTGATTTGAAGCAAGTTATCTTTAAAAACAATATAAAACCTTTGTTTTTCTAATAAATATTTGAGTTCTGTGATATCTTTGGATATGTACACCTTCCATGAATAAATGTTTAAACAAAGAAACCTGAGTCTCGTCAGGCTAAAGAAGGAATAAAGGGTTAAATTAATCTTTCAGAACCATATCACTGTTAACTTACTGTTGTTGGGTTAAAATTCTGGAACTCACTCCCTAACAGCACTGTACCTACAGCCACATAAACACCACCCTTTCTCAAGGACAACATGGATTGAGAAACTAATGCTAGTCTACCAAGCAACACGCTTCCATAAATGAATAAGAAAAGATTGCACCTACATCAGCCACAATGCATCTCCCATTTCAGAGGAGTGAGCTGGCTTTAATAATGTTACAATGTTACTATGTTGGAACCTTGCTGATGCATGTAGCCAATGCATGTTGTTGTTAGTACTGGATGCACCCAGCAATCTTTCTAATGATCAGTTTTCATGAAGGTGACATGCTGCCTGCATTTCACTAAACAGGCGGGGGTTAATTGCACATCTCAATCCCCATGTCTCTTTGCATAACTTCATTTAAAAATATGCAAATATAACATTAAAAATACCTGCGTGACGCCAACAAAAAAGGACATACTCAAGGAAACTGCCCTTCTTGCAACATTAACGATTGCTTTGTTTTCTCTCACTTACATCAGTAATGTTAAAACATTCCTGCAGACAAAATTATTCTCATTTCAGGATGAATCAGATCTGGTTCAAGTGCAAATACAAAATTACTCTTGCAATGTTAATGTTTAAAACCTAAATTTATTGATATCAAATATTTAAAATCTCACATCTTTCAACCAACTGCTTCCAGTTCTCCATGTGCTTATCATTAATGGCACTAAAAATACTCAAATTATTAGATATCACATCCTAGAAGTCTGTTATTCAGTTTTACTTCTATCACAGTTCATAGATTGTGATTAATAAAACAAATAAATAATTAGTCACAAAATTATCACAAATATCACCATTATACTTTAGCTGATTTCCTCCATTCACATGAGCATTATATGTCCAGATATTTCTGAAGAGCAGATACAATGGAGAACATGGACCATTTAATGATTTTGAATAATGTGATATACTTGGCCAAAGAAAATATGCCACTGTTTTAAAGTAAGCACAAATTGTGGCATTTTTTAAAATACAAATATCCAGCGCCATCCATTTGACTACTTCAGAATATCAATAACATTTTAAAATAAATGTAAATAAATTTTCACATATAACAAAATAACATCTTTAAATTTTAAAAGTACATCAATAAACTCCTTTTTATCAGGGTTGAGTCCAGCAATGAACTATTTGTCGGTTTAATTAAGCAGCTTGGGCAGTCGATCAGCATAGGAATTATTTCTTAGTTCATACACTGCTGACAATTGGAAGTTATGGCTTGTGTTAAATGTTTGCAGTGTAAAAATTGTTCTGCTGTGAAATCCATTTACGTTTTGAAACAAATTTTGCTTTGCAGTGTATAATGCAACCATAATAAAAAACAGTAAATAACTGCCCAGACTTCACCACTAACTTACCAACTATCTCCATTACCTCACTGCTCAAAATGTCTTCCTTAAGTCTCTGTTATTCCTTAATGTCTGCAATTTAACCGTCATTTAATTTCATGTATTGTTGATTTGAGTGCAGGAAGACTGTGAGGTTACCTGGGAAGGATACACATAGATAAATCCTCAATTATAAAGTGTAGTAAAAGAAATTACTTTAAATAAAGTTAAATGAAGATTTAAAAATAATTATAGTGCAAAAATAAAATTACACATACAGATTTAGAAATTAAGCCCTGCACTCTCAAATATGGACATGGGTGAAGTTGTGCAGGCTAGCACGCAAAAATTCATTTAATCTAAATTCCAAGTGAAGACAGCAAAACCATTAGGCACTTCAGTTTTCCTTGGAGAGGTCTCTATGTAGTTTCTGGCTTAGAGCCAGTGTAGTTGATGTACAATTTGGCTGTTTGCACGTCTAACATATTTTGCAGAAAAACAATGTGGGGTAAAGCCCAAATGTCTAAAGGATAGATTTAAGTCTTCAATCCTCTTTAATATGCCTTTACCAGTAAATGATCCAGGATCATTGTGAAATAATGTATACAGTGTAACAAAGTCCATAATCTGTACAAGGTGAAAAATAATTAGTGAGGAAGCATAGACATCAAGTGTAATAAATGCATTACAAAGGCAAACACAGTGAATGTCTAAAATTTGCTGTTAAGAAGGGAGTTCCAGGATTTGACATAGCGACAGTGAAGGAATGGCAATACACTTCCAAATCAGGATGGCGTGTGATTTGGAAGGAAACTTGTATAAGACCAAACGACATAGGAGCACAATTAGGCCATTTGGCCCATCGGGTATACTCTGTCATTCCATTGCGGCTGATCTGTTTTTTAAACCCATTTACCTGCCTTCTCCCCATAATCCTTGTCCCATTAACAATAAAGAACCTATCTATCTCTGTCTTAAATATACCCAATGACTCACCCTCCACAGCCCTCTGTGCAATGAGTTCCACAAATTAACCACCCTCTGGCTGAAGAAATTCCTCCGTAGCTTGGTTTTAAAGGGTCATCCCTTCACTCTGAGGCTGTGCCCTCGAGTCCTAGTCTCTCTAACTGGTTCACTCTATGCAGGCCTCTCAGTATTCTGAAAGTTCCAATCAGATCTCACCTCATCCTTCTAATTGAGTACAGACCTACAGTCCTCAACCTCTCCTCATGTGACAAGCTCTTCATTCCTGAGATCATTCATGTGAACATCCTCTTGGACCCTGCAAAGCCAGCAAATCATTCCTTAGATATGGAGCCCAAAACTACACACATCATTCCAAATACAGTCTGACCAGAGCCATGCCCGCTCTTGTATTCCAGTCCTCTTGAAATGAATGCTAAATGGCAGTTAGGACAGCAAATACAAACTAAACCTGCACGTTAAGCTTAAGAGAAGCTTGAATGAAGACTCCAAAGTCCCTTTTCGTGCATCAGATTTCCGAAACCTTTCCCTGTTTAGAAAATTGTCTATGCTTCTATTCTTCCCACCAAAGCACACAAGTCACACCTTCCCTCTGCTTTTTCTTTGCCCACTTTCCCAGAATGTCTAAGTCCCCACTTCTTCAATACTACCTGCCCCTCCATCTATCTGTTTATCATCAAACTTGCGATAATGTCCTCAGTTCCTTCATCCAGATCATTAATGTACAACATGAATAGTTGTGGTCCCAACACTGACCCATGTGGAACTCCACTGACTGCCATCCTGAAAAATACCCTTTTATGCCTACTCTCCGCCTTCTGCCAATCAGCCAATCCTCTATCCAGGCCAGTACCTTGCTGAGGAAGTTATCCAAAGATTATTAGTTTTTTGGTTCTGCTTTTTAGTTTAGCCCCTAGTTGCTCATAATCCCTCAGCAGAACCTCTTTCCTGTTCCTACCTATACTGTAGGTACCTATATGGACCACAACAACCATGACAACCCTCCTACTCCAAGTTCCCCTGCAGCCCAGATGGGATATTCTGAACCCGGGCACCAGGCAGGCAACACAGTGTTCAGGAGTCTCGATTCTGGCCACTGGGAACAGCGTCAATTCCTCTGATTACACTATCACTAAATACAGCCATGTTTCTCTTTTCTAGCCCCTCCCCCCTTCCTTGAATGGCTTCCTCTGTACCATGATGCCCTTGTCCTTGCAGGTGGTAGGATTTGGAAAGGTGTCAAAGGAGCCTCGGTGTGCTACTGCAGGGAATCTTATGGATGCTACACACTGTGTGAAGGGAGTGAATGTTGAAGGTGATGGATGTGGTACCAATCAAACTGGCTGCTTTGTCCGGGATGGTGTCAAGATTCTTCAGTTTGTTGGAGCTGCACTCATGCAGGCAAGGAAAGAGTTTTCCATCACACTCCTGACTTCTGCCTTGTGGATAGTGGACAGTCAATGGGAGACAGGAGATGACTTACTTGCCGTAGAATTCTTAGTGTCTGACCTGTTCTTGTAACCATGGAGAGGATACTACTAAGAGGAGAATCGTTAGAAGTTTTCAAAATCATGACAGGTCTAGATGGATTAGACAGGGAGATACTGTTGCTGCCAGTAAAAGAATCAAGAATGGGAGGGTACAGATTTGATTTTCAGAAGTAGCAAATGTTATGCGAGAAAAAAGTTTCTTCATTGGTAAAAGACTTGGATTGCACTGCCTGAAAGTGCAGTAGAGTTTGATTCAAATCGATGCATTTAAGAGGCCATTAGATGATTTAATTTTAAATAGAAAGAATGCAAAAGACTATGGGGAAAAGCCAAGAGAATGGCATTAAATCATAATGTTCAGCGAGCAGATGCAGACACAATGGGCCAAATAGCCTCCGTGTGTGTTTTAACAATGCTGTGATTCTCTAATGTGGCCTTACTTGTTCAGTTTCTGATCAATGGCAAATACCAATCCTGATTGTGAGGTTCCAGTGATGGTAATGCCATTGACACCAAGGGTGGTTTAGATTCTCTCTTGTTGGAGATGGTCATTGCTTTTTTGTCTATATTGAACCAAGGCTGTAATGAGATCAGGAGCTGAATGGGCCTGATGGACCCAAAACTGAGCAACAGTGAGAATGTCATTCCTTTGCTAGTGTCGGTTGATCGCATTGTTGACAACTCCTTCTATCACATTGCTGATGATGGAGAGAATGTTAACTGGCTGGGTTGAATTTGTCCTGCCTTTTATGCTCAGGACTTACCTGGGAAACTCTGCAAATAATGCCAAACAAGGTCTTACATGAATTATAATACTTAGTTCTACGGCCAGTTCTCTAATTATTTCCTTCTCTTTCAAATGCCACACCGCTTTTCCCAAGTTCTCATGTGAACCTTGACTGTGAACAGCATTACGATTTAGCCTGTTCATGAACTCACCACATAACCATACACATTTTTTTACAATGCAGGCCAGTCAATTACAAATAATGTAGTTGTGGCACTTGTCCTCTTCTCTAGGTCATTAGTACTGAAGCTAATTGCTGCAATCCAATGAGATCAGCTAGCCTTCCGCAAGGGTGAAATTGAAGTGGGATCTCCCTTTTACTGTGTCTCAGGCACATAATATCCAGTACCTTTACTTACTAAGAAGTGAGGGAGCTGCACGTATATTTCTGAAGTAACTACCAGTTCCTAACAGTTACTGCAATTACTTAGTAGAGAACATGATTACTTGTAATCAGCAATGATGATGAAACTGTAAAGTTCAAAACAAAACGGGGATATTTTCAAATTTAAGATGGATTTAACTTTATAGTTACATAAAAGTAAGCAAAATCAAAGATTATGAATGAATATGAAAGTAGTGACAGAATATGAAGGCAGCACCTATAAATACAGATAAATATACGCAAACTTTTAAAGGGGCTCGGCTCCTTTTAAGTTATATGGTTATAAGCACGATTTGAAACAAGCTTATTTGCTGCACATTTCAAAATGAAAGGTTTGCCGTTATTATAGTAGGTATCTCGGCAGCAAACTGTGCGATTAACAGGCTTCACATGCATCCATTCATTCACATATGCAATCCGCGAAAATAATAACAACGAGTGTAGCAATCTCAACTGCACCAAAACCACAAATATGATAAGCGTTATGGTTTTTTTTTAAGATAATTCGAGAACCGAATGAAAAGTTGCACCCAACTCTGTAATTTTAGCGTGGCATCCATCATTCACACACAGGTCTGGATTAACATGTTTGCTGCAGACAATCAGCAAGCAAAACGAATTTTCACAACGCCGCCCACGCGAAGTTATGAAATGTCAGTGACGATTTAACGCACGAAAACAGCAGATAAACGGCAGTCCGAGTCGATAGATGCATAACATTAAGACAAGAGTTTTTAAAAGTCCCGCTTAAATCTACACGGTCGGAAAGTTGTTTTTCACCAGAACGTGTGGGGTGCCGAAGCAGGCAGAAGAGGGGTAGGGTGACAGCGGTGAGTGAGCGGGGAAGGGTGCCTGTGGTTTACCTCCTGCCGCTGCTGAGACCTGCCGTGTGTCTCCACATGGGCGACCCGCTGCCGCTGTCAGCTGAGGCGATCTGTGCACAGCCACTAGGCACCACCGGGAAGCTGCGGCTCGCCAGGAAACCCGCGCTCCTACATGCTCTCTTCCCGTTCTCTCTCATGTTGTAAATACATCTCAAGGCAGGAGACTAAACCTGGGCAACCAAAATAGTGAAATCCGAATCACCATAGAAACCAGTAAACGGCTAAAGAAGCGCACTTTAAAATGAAAAAAAGGGAACCGATTATATAATCAATCCAATTCTGTCACTGTTCGCGGGAAGTGATGATCAAGGAAAACTGACACAAAAACAAATTGGGATAAATAAACGTTAAGTAGGTCAGACAGTTTTTTTTTTCTTCCGCCCCCTCCCTGTGTTGCCGGATTGTAAATTGGTTTCTCCCCCCTCCCCCTCCTGTCCTTTCTGACTGGAAGAGGAGGAAATGATCCACTGACCTAAATATTTTTCCAAACATCTGTGACCTTTTTCTGGCTCCTGTGGGAGGAGACAGGCGCGGGTCCAATGAACGGAGCCAAGAGGAATCTGCAGCGGGGAGGAAGGTTCCTGTGGCTCGAGCCGGCTCCAGCGCAGTTGTCATTCTGGGCACGTCGGGGTGTTTTCGCTCAGCACGGCCGGACTCTCTGCGAAGAATTATTCATTTCTCGATAGAAGCTGGCTGCAGAAATTACTGAAGGAGAACTATGCGCGGGGCAACTGGCCCGGCGACAAAAAAAAACATAGAATGGTGGGTGTACCCTGCTCTTTGGTTCACTCCGAGATGACAAGCACATTGACGCCGCTGCACGATGGTGTGCGGGGTTTTTTTCTCCCTCCTTTTAGAAAGTAGGTCAGTAATTTCAATGTTCGAGCTTCTTCCGTCATTGTGCTGAAATTAGCCACTCCTTATGTAAGATGTTACGACGTTTCGAGATACGATAGGCTAACGTTAAAACGATTGTCAAGTGTTCTTGACATGAAAGTTTAAGATTTTGAAATGAAAGTAGCCGACAGCGAAGAGACTCCAGCATCTGCAGTTCTTGCTGTCTCTGAGACCAGCTTAAGTCAGTGGTTCCTGCGGCGCTATCCTTATGTTGCTTTGCGCAACTTTTGGAAAATAATGTGGCTGGAGTTGAATCGTTCGTGATAAAGATGGAAGCACGTTTTTATTCCTGATGGGTCAAATTCCTTGAGTATGATCTAATCACTGATTCAGGGTCCAGTGCTGGTTTAATGGAATAGGCTCACGATAGGCAGCATCTGTGGAGCAAACCATGGGGTTAATGTTTCAGTGCAATGACATTTCGGTACTCGGGCGAAGGGTCCACTAGACTAACTAGCAGAGAGTCATGCAGAGCAAATTACACTGGTTAGTCTCGACTATCTTTTTAAAATCGTGGGAAGAACAAAGAAATCCTGGCCCTCTCGCTGGGTGACCAGTCGTCTTTGGCATTGCTTTTCTTCCCATTGCAGCCTGGAGGCAAAGCTATTTCACAAGAGTCATGCAGCACAGAAACAGACCCTTTGGTCCAACTCATCTGCACCAACCAGACATCCCAATCTAACCTAGACAACAAGGTGCAGAGCTGGATGAACACAGCAGGCCAAGCAGCATCATAGGAGCAGAAAGGTTGACATTTCGAGCCTAGACCCAAAAAAGAAAAACCTTCCACCCCAACCTTAAAGAAAACCTTCCACCCCACCCTTAAAAAAAGAAAAAATTCATCCACTTCACCAACACCTTCCACCTCAACCTTAAAAAAAGACAAAAAAAATCTCTTTCAATTCCTCCCACTTCCTACAGACAAAGGGGATGGCCATGGGTACCCGCATGGGCCCAAGCTACGCCTGCCTCTTTGTAGGTTACGTGGAACAATCCCTCTTCCATACCTACACTGGCCCTAAACCCCACCTCTTCCTCCGTTACATTGATGACTGTATCAGCGCCGCCTCGTGCTCCCACGAGGAGCTCGAACAGTTCATCCACTTCACCAACATCTTCCACTCCAACCTTAAAAAAAGAAAAAAAACCAACCGTGCCAATCTAACCTAGTCCCATTTGCCAGCTTTTAGCCCAAAATTCTCTTAAACACTTCCTATTCATATACCCATACAGATGCTTTTTAAATGTTGTAATTGTGCTCGCCTCCACAATTTCTTCTGGCAACTGGTCCCAGTCACAAAGCCTCGTCTGCGTGAAAAAGTGACTCCTCAGGTCCTTTTCAAATCTTTCTCCTCTCATCGTAAATCTATGCCCTCTATTTTTGGACTCCCCCACCCAAGGAAAAAGACCATGTTTATTCACCCTATCATGATTTTAAAAAACTCTATAAGCTTCAGCCTCTGATGCTGCAGGGAAAATAGCCCCATCCTTTTCAGTCCCTCCCAATAGCTCAAAACCACCATTCCCAGCAACATCCTTGTAAATCTTTTCTGCACCCTCTCAAGTTGAACAATATCCTTCCTATAGAAGGGTGACCAGAATTATAAGCAGTATTCCAGAGGTGGCCTCACCAATGCCCTGCACAGCTGCAACATGACATTGGTGAGGCCACCTCTGGAATACTGCGTACAATTCTGGTCACTCTTCCATAGGATATTGTTCAGCTTGAGAGGGTGCAGAAAAGATTTACAAGGATGTTGCTGGGAATGGAGGTTTTGAGCTTTTAGGAGAGACTGAAAAGGATGGGTCTATTTTCCCTGTCCTGGACAGCTGCAACATGATCTCCCAACTCCTATACTCAAATATTATGACCAATGAAGGCAAGTGTGCCAAAAGCCTTATTCACCATCCTCTCTACCTGTGACTCCACTTTCAAGGAACAATGCATCTGCACCCCTAGGTCTCTCTGTTCGACAGCATTCCCCAGAGGCCTACTATTTACTGTATAAGCCCAGCCCTGGTTTGCCTTACCAAAATGCAACAGCTCACATTTATCTAAATTAAACTCCATTTGCCGCTTCTCGGCCCGTTGGCCCATCTGATCAAGGTCCCATTGTACTCTGAGATTATCTTCGCTGCCCCCTACACCACTTATTTTGGTGTCATCTGTAAACTTACTTACCATACCTCCTATATTCACATCCAAATCATTTGTATGAATGATGAAAAGTAGTGGACGCAGCACTGATCCTTGTGGCACACCACTGGTCACAGGCCTCCGGTCTGAAAAACATCCTTCCACCACCAGGTCTCCTACCTTCAAGCCAATTTTGTATCCAATTGGCTATCACCCCCTGGATCACATGTAACCTAACCTTGTTAACCAGTCTACCATGCGGAAACTTGTCGAAAGCCTTACAGAAGTCCATACAGACAATGTCTACTGCTCTGCCATCATCTATCTTCTTTGTCACCTGTTTAAAAATTTCAGTCAAGTTAGTGAGACATGGCTTCCCATGCACAAAGCCATGCTGACTATCCCTAATCAGTCCTTGCCCTTCCAAATACATGTAAATCCTGTCCCTCAGAATCCCCTGCAACAACTTACCCACCACTGACGTAAGGCTCACCTGGCTTTTCCTTACAGCCTTTCTTAAATAATGGCACCACAATAGCCAACCTCCAGTCTTCTGGCACCTCACCTGTGACTAGCGATGATACAAGTATCTCAGCAAGAGCCCCAGCAGTCTCTTCCCTAGCCTCCCACAAAATTCTGGGAAACACCTGATCAGGTCCTGGGAATTTATCTACCTTGATGCGTTTTAAGACCTCCAGCACTTCCTTTTCTGTAATATTGACACTTTGCAAGCTATTGCTATTTATTTCCCCAAGTTCTCTAGCTTCTATGTCCTTCTCTATAGTAACTACTAATATGAAATACTCATTTAGTACCTCACCCATTTCCTGTGGTTCCATACATAGCCTTGCTGATCTTTAAGGGCCCCTAGTCGCTCCCTAGTTACTCTTTTGCCCTTCAGGTATTTATAGAATCTCTTTGGTTTCTTCATAGAGTCATAGAATCCCTACAGTGTGGAAACAAGCCATTCAGCCCAACAAGTCCACACCACCCCTCCAAAGAGCATCCTGCCCAGACCCATCCCCTTACCCTTTCCCTGTAACCCTGTATTTCCCATGTCTAATCCACCTAACTTACACACCCCTGGAGACTATGGGCAATTTAGCATGGCAAATCCACCTAACCTGCACATCTTTGGACTGTGGGAGGAAAGTGGAGCACCCGGAGGAAACCCACGCAGACACGGGGAGAATGTTCTTAACTCTATTTGCCAAAGCTATCTCATGTTCCCATTTTGCCCTCCTGATTTCCCTCTTAAGATACTCCTACTGCCCTTAAACTCTGATAAATGTCTCCTTCTTTTTCTTGACCAGAGCTTCAATTTGTCTAGTCATCCAGCATTCCCTGTACCCACCAGCCTTGGCCTTCACACTAGCAGGAACATACTGTCTCTGAACTTTTGTTATCTCATCCTTAAAGGCCTCCTAGAATCCTCAATTCAAATCCCGTATGCCCAAGTGTCCCTCTGTCTCTGATAATTCAGTCCTATGGAATCGGAGGAGCAAATCAAAGGAATAAAAGGGGGAGGTGGTGGGGAGTAGGAAATAAACACAATAACTATCGCTGGCAAAAAATATATTAGGGTAACTAATGGGGCTAAAGGCCATTAAGACCCCTCGCCCTGACAGGTTGCATCCTAGGATTATAAAGGAAATTACTGCAATGATAGTGAATGCACTAGTCATAAACTTCCAATAATTTTTAGATTCTGGATTTTTTAGAATTTTGTCCCAGAGGATTGTAAAATTGACAAAATAACACCCTTACTCAAAAAATGGAGTGGGACAAAGAATGGGTGACCATAGACTAGTTAGCCTAACCTCTGTTGTTGGGAAAATATCAGAGTCTGTTATAAACAATATAATAGCAGAGCATTTAGAAACACATAATCAAGCAGCGTTAATATGACTTTATGAAGGGGAAATCATTCCTGACAAACTTATTTCAGTTCTTTGAGGAAGTAATGAGTAGGGTAGATAAAGCAGAACTTATAGTTGCAAAATATTGAATTTCCAAAAGGTATTCAATAAAATGCTACATTTAAGGGTATTTTATAAAACAAGAGCCTATGGTTCTTATGGAGTAGAACATCACCATGGATATAGGATTGACTAATTAATAGAAGACAGAGAATTGGATTATGGAGGCATTTTCAGGATGGCAGTCTAACTAGTGAAGTGCCACAGGATCAGTGCTTGGGCCACAACTATTTACGATATATCTTAATGACTTGGATAGGGGAAGTGAGTGCATCATCGCTAAGTTTGGAAATGACAAATTAGGTGGGACAACAAGTAGTAAAGATAACACAAAGAATTCATAGAGGTAGAGAAACAGGTTTAGTGAGTTGGGAAAAATTTGGTAGATGGAATACAATGTGGAAAAATGTGACGT